CGCAGTTATTCGTTTTACTCACCGGTAGCTGAAACTCCTTGCATTTTGCACAAACTTCTTCTCGCCTCTTTCTGTTAAAATCTTCTTTTTCTCGGAGCAACTGGCAGCAACAGCAGCAGCCGTGGATCCAGCGTACTGTGGGCTAAACTCGGAGGAGCGCCTGCACTTCAGAGCTTCACTTTTCCTGTTCGCCGACTAAAATAAAAATAAAAAAAATACACACAGACCCACTATAGTGACTTCATGGCTTCTTAACAGACGCGAGAGACGTTATCCGAATCAGTTTTGCGCAGAATAAGAGGTTTATATTCCTCCACATAGTCCTTTCTCCTCCCTCTGACAGACAGAAGTCTCTCCTCTGTGCCGCTGGAAGAAAAGAAAATGCGCGTTCCCGCCGGTGCGAGGCGCGAGCACTACAACCCCATTCATTGAGTGCAGTGAAAGCTAAGCACTGAAGGAAAAAAAAAAGATAATTTTATCTTTTTACAAACTAATCAAGCTTTTTGTTTTTTCTTTTTCTTCTTTTTGGCTCACTGTTTTATCATTTTTCTTTCTTTTTTTTGTCCGTTTTTAAAAGTAGACCCTCTATCCTTGTGCATTTCACATGCCCTGGGACAGAGGCATGAGTTGTCACATGAAGCCATGAAAAGGATGAGGCCTATTTCAGTAGATGGTTCTGCTCTGAAATCCCCACATCTGCCTATTAGCTAGGAAATAGTTCCTGGAACATGAATACTAACTGGCACAGCATTTCCATGTCACTGAGCAGGCTTTCTCCTCATCTTTTAATTGGTTCAGTTGGTTTTTCTGTCTCATCAAACATCTGCTGACTCGGTGAATGCTTGTTGAAGGAAACAAGGAACCGAAGCAGAAAACAAATCATGGATCTGCAGAAGTTAAGCTCTCATATTATAAGGATATTATAAGCATGCCCTAACTCTAAACCTCCACATGATACAGTCGATGAGGAAAGGTCACCGGGGGTGTCTGCAGTCTGCAGTAGTGAAATATAACTAAGAACATTTACTCATGAAACACATATGTAGCTTGACTACTTTTTTCCTTCAACACCTCTTACTCTTGTACTTGTACTGAATGTCTAAACGTTTCAGACGAGCCAAAAGATAAACATGTCTAATATGTAAGTAATGAAGCGAGAAAACAAGGGTAACATTTACTCATATCACATCCATGAGATTTATCTTAACTCCCTGGATACCGCCCAACCCCTGTAGGCTGAAAAAATGAAACTGCACGAGCTAATAATGTATTAATATTGTGGGATTATAGTAGTATGGACTCATTTTTGTGCTTAACACATACACTTTTAGTGCATCAGTGTTGCATCTCAGTGATCATTTTGATTAATTTTTTTATTTTTCCCTAATTTTCAGGATCCTGTAGCAAATAACTTTCCACAGCCCTCGCTCTGTGTTTCTGTGCAGCCTCCCACCCACGTATTTGAAACTTGTGTCTGTTCAGCTACGCACCATTAACCCCTTTTAAGGCCACTGTTGGTGCTTCACACTTGTCACGAGCCTCAGATCCACACAGACAACAGCAGGGCTTCTAATGATAACACCTCTTTGTCTGGCTGCTTGCCAGGCAGAAGGCTGCTTCATTGACCTGTGCTCCTCTCTAATAAGCAGTGAATACACATTATATTTCATTCCTCTCTTCCCATATGTATATGACCTCTGTGACTACACTATTGAGTCACACATTTTCCACTTTTTGGCTTTCCACTTTAAAGACACAAGAGCAGCAAAATATTCTTCTTTTACTGTAACTTTGTACGTTTTCTTTGCTTTAGAGAAAAGTTCTGAACATGTCAGTGCAGAGTCTGAAAGGCCAAGTGTTTTGTGGATGACTGGATTTGTGTTTTTAAATAGATTGGGGGCCCAGTGCCCCTGGGTGCATGGAGTTGCCTGTCTTTCGGCCTGTCTGTCTGTCTTTCTAGGGCATGCTGGTCCATAGAAAATAGAGCACCAAACAGTCCTCTGGGATACATCCTGTGCTCTGCTTCCCCGGGGCTCCTCCACTCAAAACCACAGAGCAGAGTGAAACAACTGCATTCAGAGAGAGGGAGGAAAGAGGAAAATGAGAGACTGGGGGAAGTGAGAGACAGAGGAGGATGTGAAAAATGGCAATTAGGATGAAGAGAGGAAGAAAAGCAGAGTGGCAGATGAGCAGCCAAGCAGAAAGCTTGGTGCGAAAGTCAGCATAGATAAGTGTGACACGAGCTCCACAGAGCTTTTTACACTCATCTGAAAGTGCCGTGGTATAAATGTCCCAACCACATGATAATCACACTCCAGAATTGGGTGCCAGTCGTCATTTGTTCACTCTTTTTCAGGTGCAAATTAAAGCCTGGTATCGATTGAATCAACACTTCATTGTTTGACACAGGCGAAGCTGCATTTTTTGAGACCACACCAGCAGCTGCGTGGAGATACTACAGACAGATCTATGAGTCACAATAGGGAGGACGCTCACACCCTGCATCCAGTGTCAGGACTCAGGAATTTTTGAATTCATCGTGAAGATGAGCTCACACTCCACAGGTCATAAATTGCTTAAGATTCTCGCTGGTGTTATTTCTCCTCCGGTGGGGTTGTTTAGAAATGTGTTAACGTGTGTGTTTGAATCCACGCGAGGCGTGTGCGGTGTTGATGATTGCCGTTGCTCTTTCAGACCAGCTGATCACAGCTCTCTGCTCCTTCAGGCTCCACATGGATTCATCACATGACAGCCCCGGAGCACACTCATAAAGGAGACTCTTTGTAAGTGCAAAGAAGCGCGCCCTCTCCCCCTTAAGGCCTGCAGCTCTCACAGTTACTGGAAGAGTTACAGTTACTCGGTCAGCCCACAAAGACGTCAACAGTTGTAGCATGGGGACCCCAGGTGGTGAATATAGATAGTGCATCAACTGAGTAGTGAAAACAGCTGCTCTGCTGCATGAATCCTTCTTCATCCTGGGTATAATCGCAGCAGCTGAGGATTAATAGAACACGACTGATGCCATGTACTGACCCATATTTCCTCAGGCGGGGGGTGGGGGGGTGGGGGGGGGGGGGGGGGGGGGGGGGGGGGAGATAATGGAAGACTGGCACCAACAAAAGCTCCACTGTTACTGGAGTGATGTCATTGCTGACTTCTCCTGACTGGCTATCATTAATTCTCTGATGCTGAAAAATCTGCAGGACATGAATGGTAAATGATAGCACTTGGTTTAAGTGTACTGATTCACAACACTGTCTTTTAGTGACACAACTAAGCATTAATAATAACTTATTTCAGGTTTATTATATATAAACCTGAAATCAGTATATATTATATATAGGACTGTCAATGGGACAAAGCTGTAGGGTGGACTGATCAGTGATGCTAAGTATTGCATGTAAATACAAATTCTAGGTGTGTCTACTTTGAGGATTTATATTTTATGCCTCTTTATATTTCTAGTGCACTTATTCACAGGCAGAACTTCAGTGCTTCACGCTCCTCAAAGGAAGAAGAAGACTAAGTAATTGCTATATCACATAGTCATTTATTGTAATTTGCATACCAAAACCTACACATTAATGCATAGCAGCCCCCCCTCCCATAAATAATAGCAAAACACTGATATAGTAAGTAAGTGCTATAAATTTACTGCTAAAAATGCTCACATTACTTTTAATACATTTACCAAAAAGGTAAATGGGTCTGCATACTTTAGTTCTGATAAAAGCAGTGGTGGAAAGGACAAGAGTAAGAGTATCTCTGCTTCTGCTGTCTTAATTTTCAAACGGTGTAGGGCACAAGGCAAACATGCTACTGCTAAATTGCCAGCGTTTTTTTTGGTAAACTGTATCCAACGTGTCAAGATGATATTCCACAATTTCGTAAGGCGAAATAAGATCGTAACTCTTTCTAGACCTTTTATTTGGATTAAATATTAAATGTCTATCAGAGACTTTAAATGAACTACTTTCATCAGAAAGTAGGAATGTTTTGGAAGCAGTCTGAGAAATGCCCACATAGCTCTAAAGGAGGAGAATTAACAATGACAGGAGTGTGAGAATAGCTCTAGAGAGAATGGGATGTTTTTCTAAAATAATAAATAAAAATAAATATTTGAATATTCTAAAAGGAAGAAATACAGAATTAACCAAACCAGAAGAAAAACAAAATAAAGAGAGGGAGCCTTGACTTAATATTGACAATAAACTTGATCTGGGTGGATAGAAAAGATGGTTTTAAAGTACCTAAGAGCATCTGAGCTTTCAAAGTATAGAATTTTAGCCCTCTTATTCAGAGGGTCAATCTTGTGCTTTTTCACTTCTTCATTTGGAGTAATCTGCACATTCAGAGCACTTATAGATGAAGTTTAAAACATTCATACAACATTTTGACCTCTAAAGTGAATGGATCAATAACAGTTAGTCCATCTATTTATTTGGTTTCATTTGCATAAATAAAAATCTCATTTTTCCCCCTTTATTGTCATTAATGTGTAGATTTTTTTAAATGGCATAAAATAACATTCATACTTTCCTCTTGTAAATCAACACCAAGAAAATAACAGCAGTTTTAATTGAGCAGAGAGCCGGCCTCCAGAGCCTCGACAGGAAATGCTGGGTGTACCAAAGGTCAAAAAAGAAACTGGGACCAATCAGTGCTTGGGCATATCTCCAGGAGGGAGGGACAGTGGAGGAGAGGGGGAGAAAGAAACGGGAAATGGAGGGGGCAGAGGAGGGAGGGGCAAGGTTTAAGAGAACAGACAGGGTAGGGATGGGGGAGGCGGGGGGGTTTTGGTGGAGGTGTTTTCGTGCATTGTGTGAAATGTGATCAGGTTCCTGGAGCCGCTTGGACAGCTGGGAAGTTCCCCCTTCCCCTGGCTTCCAACTGGGAACGCTATGAGGAGACTCCAGGGCTGCAGACCACATACTTCAATGGTTAACCCTTTCATCCGCTTCAGCTGTGGAGCAGCTATAAATAACAACACTGAAACACGCTGGAACTTAAGTCACATTTATTGATTTTAGCCAGTATGACTACCCTTACACAGACATACCATCTCCACTAGAAAACAAACAAAACACTTTCATAGGATTAGTTCAGCAGTAATACATCAGACTTAACTGGTCCCCGCCCCAAGCCCTAATTTTTTATTTTCTCTCTTTTAAAAACACCCCGACAAAAGTTTTAACATGTTTGTTTTCAACTCTGTGTAAAGGTCCCATGACTGAGAAACATGCATATGACGTTTAGCTGTAATCAATATGCCACTAATCATAATGCACATTATTGATAAGAATACAGTACTGCATGACAGTTCAAATAAATACAGGTGAAGTCGTTATTTCATATAAAGATATCAAACTCTCATTATGGATCAATACTGAAACACAATATGACAATATAAAGTTTGCACAGCTATTTTTTGTAGTATCACAATGCCATCGCTTCCAGCAAACAGAAAACTTTCTCTTTTTAATGTAAAACAGTATCTGAATTGCACTTTTTTTTGTTAGCTTCTTATCCATATTGGTAACTTTAACGCCTCAACAAACAAGCATTGGCTATAATGGCACTATTCAAGCTTGTTGATGCTAATCTTGTTTTCTGTTTCCTGAAAACACCATGCTCAAAGATGATGTAAAAAAAGATTCAAGAATAAAAAAAACAAAAACAAACAAAAAGTCAAATTAGACAAAAGTAAAGATAAAATGCGCTCTCTGCACATTTTTAACAATACTATTGATATCACATTACCTTCACCAAACAAAGCTAGAGATACATAGATGTTTCCAATAGTACACTGATCTACCCCAACACATTAAAGATGCTTGGAGCACTTTGTTCAATAACAGGAGGCCAAAGGGATCTCTTTTGGTTCCCAATGTTTGATAAAATAAAATAAAAAAAAAACTTTTCTCAATACCCCTGAATTTCTCGAGGGGATCACTGACCTGCAGAATTCAATACAACTTGAGTTTTATTGAGCTAATTTCAAAACTATCACCTCACTCATGCAGAAAAGGGGGGAAAAATTCCCTTTGCGCTTATTGCTGCTCACAGTCATTTTGAACCCAAAGTCCTCACCTATATATAAAAAACAGAAACATAAAACACTAGTCTAAGATTCTCCCTTGAAACAATGAAAGGCACTACTGGTCAGAAACGAAGAACTAAAACGAACCGAAAAACAAAACCCCGGCTCTCGCACGGCAGCGAGAGCCATGGCCCAAACTGCACCTTTCTTAGTTTTTTTTCTTCTTCTTTCCGATTCTTTTTCTCATTTTCAACCTAAACGGTGTACCAAGATTTGGCACAATAAACAAAGAGAGAATGAAACAATTCCAATTTGGAATTTTAATTGTCGCAGTTGCAAAGAATTCTGAAAGCCAGCGATCCCGTTTCAGTGGAACGCCCTCGGTAAGAAGCTAGGAAAAGCACATATCGTCGTCACGCAAATTTTTCCCAAGACACAACTTACCTATTTGAGTCAGAGCGTTGTCAAGTTTCATAGTGTAATTTTTGAACTATTCCTAGGAATAATAAATACATGAAAAAACCCCAGAATTTGATCACCCTGGATTTTTGTAGAGAACATGGCAGTAGAACAAACATATGAAAAATAAAAGCAACAGCATAACACGATGTAACAAAAGGATTTTAAAATGATTATTTGATGGATAAATTCTTGAGGACAGAGTCATCATAGTACATTTGTGGTTTGTGGAGCCTTACTGTAGTGCGTATTGTTTAAATTCAAATATTTGAGGAGGACTTACAATACTACAGTCCTCCAACCTATATTGGATAACTCAACAAACCATTGTACTACCATGCTTTCCTATAGGTTAATAATAGCATGTTATAATCCTATAAAATGAAAGTGCACAGATTAACAAAACGATAAACTAAAAATAAGAGATAAAACCAAACAAAAACAGCTTGTTGATTAAGAAACGACCACATCTCCCTTGGCTTCTCAATAGAGGATTCGGAGGGATTGGCCAATTACAAGCCAAGAAGTTCACTGTACTTGCGAGGCAAAAATGGCTTCCAGCAGAGGCATCCAGAATTTGGACCAAGTGTGATCCTAATGTGCATAACATAACAGAATTTTAAAATGAAAAGGGGAGGACAATTGATTCAAATTAAAAACCTGTGCTTAACGTTTGTACTTAGGTTTTTGCCGTTTTATTTTTCTTCAAGTCCAAATAGCCTAGAGTAGCGCTAACTCGTTTCGCCCAACTCAATCAGCAGCGAGAATGGACCTTGTGTTGGTACTTCGTCGTCCGTGCAGAATTACTGAAATTACTGCAAAAGTGGAGAAACAAACAAATAATGAGCATCATTAGCACTTGGTTTTAGTCATTTGAGAGCGACTGTTTACAAGGTCACAGCAGCGGAGTCCACGCAGACAAAGTAAGATGGCGGCTGTTGGTTAGTCAAAGCAACAGAAAGCGATGTTAGGAACTTTAAGCCGGCCAGTATGGCCATTTAGTTTCTGGTGTGAAAGCGCATTCACTGCAAATCATCCTGCAGGTGCGGTTAGGAAGCCAGTGACTCACGAGTACCATGAACTTTCATTCATAGGACAGAGCTGAAGCCACATCTCACCACCAAAGGAGATGGGTCTTTCTCATTAGCCATGCAAGTAAATGAAAAATGGGTTATGCTTTTGACATGCAGGCTTACTTTTAAATCAGAAACAAGATGCATCATGTGAAGTAAAACTTAGAGGTGATGTGGGAGGAGCCTGCAGGCAGAGGTAGGAGGAGCTTTGCTGTTTTATTTTAGGTGGCATATTGCAATGACACCAAAAAAGCCAGACATTGATTTCAAACTAGATCGAACCAAGCGGGGATTAGTCTATCTAAGGAGAGGGGATTCTAGTCACAATCACATCCTGCAATCATCTACTGCTCAGTAAATCCACATAACCTATACAAGGGATACGGTTGGGAGCTTAACTAATTTGAATCAATGTCCTCTGGTTGAGCGAGCAACCAATCTCAAGGTTTTTTTTCCTCCATATATCAGTGGGAGTTTATCCCTCAGAAAAAGAATAAAGAAAAAAAAAATATCACGGGGTGTTTTTCGCTATGCCAGCCTCTTCTCATGTCTCTAAGTATCATGGTAGGATCTTCCAATTCCTTAAATTATAAACTTTCCCAAGGAGATAAGCATGCGTAACGAAAAGCACCCCTGGATTAGATTCCCCATCCAGCCACACATCTGGCTTTCTTCACCAGCACGTTTAGCTTTCTTATCTCCTCTCTCAGGAGCTGGTTTACAACACGATTAGTTCTCCCTCCTCTACTCCCTAAACCTTTTTTTCTCAGCGCAAACTGATGGAAACAGAATATACCACACTTGTAAGTTGACTGAACTTCAAACAAAGGAGTGACTGACCTCTAAGGAGGCTGCGCTTTTTTTCTTTTTTCAGAAAGTGTACAATAGCCTCGTCTCCATGCTGTGTGCTGCGGCTTACGGATGCGCACTCAAGCAGGGTTGACTGCGGACATAATTCCCTGTGTTCAGAGGAATAAATGCCCATTGTATATGCATTTAAGAGGAAGGAATACTGTAGTAGAAACCTGCAAGATTATAACCTGAACATGATCCTATTAAGAATATAGAGAATTTTATATATAGCTTATTAGTAGTAGAAAATGCTATTTTTTTAAACAAATCTTGCAGGATTTCCTCACATCAACCCTGCTTTTAGCATCATAAAGCTAATGTGTCTATGATCCACAAGCGGTACATGGATTTTATTAAACACAAGCCCCACTTAAATTTTGCCTATTTGCGTAATACTAGCTTGCAAGGGGTTAAAGCTATTGTCAATACTAAAACAGTACGTTGCTTTGTCCTCACACACCAAGCAACCCAAGAAAACAAACAAGAGAGGCCCTTCATTTCAATGGTTAAAAACCTTGTACACAAATGAAGGCCCTTCACCGCAACACTGAGATATAAACACAGGCAAAATTCAGAAAACACGTCGTATGCGAGGACGTTACCTGACAAAAATATTCCTCATTCTAGTTAAAGGGTGAGTGGTGATGCTGGGGGAGCAAGCTGCTGACAATCTACAAGAGAGAAGGTCGTAGTAGCGACCGAGCAACGAGACACAGATTAGAGACATTAGGAGAGGACTTTTTTTTTTTCCAGCCACATAACCACATAGAAATTATTTGACAGCTCTCAGCAATCTCGCAAACAGCAGGGGGCAGGGGATTGG